TGATCAAAGAGGACTTGAGATGTCCAGAGCCAGGAGATACTCTGAAAGGAGATGTTTACCAATATGTCTGGGTTACATAATAAAACACAGAGGCTTTGAATATATCTGCATATATATAGTTTCATTTGATATGCTTTACAAATTATGTAGAGCGGTATGTAGAGAAGAGAGACATATTTTGTGGAAAACACTATTACTGAACAGATAAAGACACCAACAACCTCCCTTCCAAGGCAAGCATCTACCAGTCAACAATGAAGCCCCAAGCTTTATCTAATGTTGGTAGTGAGAGAAAGCTGACAGGGTCATGAAAATTATCGTAAAGATTTTGAGAAAACAGTGATTGCTTGAGTAGATTCTGTCTTTCTGATAAAATATAAAACACAGAAGTATGGGTACACTGATATCTTTGAAATATTCTTGAGATTAAGCTCTTAAGCATGACTTGATGTCACTTCAAAAAGCATCCAACTCCATCACTATCAGTGGTGGCTGGTAAAGTCTGACTCCACCCCTTTATGCTGTTACCCTGTTAAAGCCCTAAAAGACAAGAAAATGTGCAGTCCTGTCCTTTAGGGCATTAAGGAGATCCTAGTCCAATGCAAAATCAACAGGTGACATTAGCAATCCTGTTTGAGAAAAATCATAATGAGAAAAATCATGTATGAAAAGTCTATACACACAGATTGGGCAATCATTTAAAAAACACTCCAAAATCTTTGTGTAATTGGTTACTCAACCTCTCATTGGAATCTCCAGTCACACGCAAATACTCTAAGCAACTTACATAGACACACTAAACGTCACAGATAGCACAAACAAAATCCCAGACAATCAACATACATACCACAGACAGCCCACACACATACATAACACAACAGGCAGGCCACATATTCACACACAATATCACAGACAGAGAGTACCACACACAAATATGTTGTAAGCAACCCACAAAAACACACTCAACATCAGAGACAGCACACTCACAAAAGACTGTCCATGCACATACATAACACAATATGCAGCCCACAAACACACGCAGTCTACAAAAAGTCCAAACACACACACAACATTACAGACAGTATCTATTACACACAAATACTACAGGCAAGTAACAGACACACAGTGTGGTCACATAATAGCCAATGGCCACACACACAAAACCAATGACAGCACATAGAGGAAAAGGAAGCCGAAAAAGCTCAGTTGACCGAGCGTTAGACTGAAGATCAAAAGGTCACTGGTTCAATCCCGGGTTTCAGCATTGGTAGCAGTGTCGCATGATTGCATTATCTGCATGTTCTTCACATTATTATAAAAGGAATCAACACAGTAAAGGAGGAGACTATATTTAAAAGAAGGAGAGCTACCACAACAAGAGGACATGGTCTTAAATTAGAGGGGCAAAGGTTTAAAAATAATGTCAGGAAGTATTACTTTACTGAGAGAGTAGTGGATGCATGGAATAGCCTTCCAACTGGAGTGGTAGGGGTTAACACAGTGAGGGAGTTTAAGCATGTGTGGGATAGGCATAAGGCTAGCCTAGACTTAAGATAAGGCCAGGGACTAATTAAAAGTATTTTGAAACATTGGGCAGACTACATGGGCCGAATGGTTCCTATCTGCCATCACATTCTATGTTTCTATGTTTATATATACGTATCATAAGCAACCCAAACACATACTTCACACATTAGAGAGCCAACCATACACATAATCAGACACAAATTCCACAACAGTCCACATACATACACATAATGTATGGATCAGACAGTTCCACACACATAAAATAAACACATCACACACATAACTCAGACAGCCCACACACAATACCATTAACAACCTACACAAAGAGCTCTCGCCACACAAATGTACACAATACCACAAACAGCCCACATTCACACACAAAATCCCACAACCAAACACCTCCACAGACAAAATACAACAACTTGATAAACAAAACACTACACACAGTCTATATATACACTCACATAACACCACAGATATCTCCCCCCACACACACACATACGTAAAGCCCTTACACAAGCAAAATTTCTCACCATACATAATTATTAATTTCAAAAATAAGGCTTGTACACTAAGGGACTAAAAACTTCTACTATCGCACAGTGCTACCAAAAGTTTGCCCACTACTGGTACAGATGAAGAGTTAGGAATATTTTAAAGTGATAGAACATGTTCAGGTATCTTAAGTTAAAAAAAATATTATTTCCAAATGAATATATGTTTACTGCAGACTGAGAAAAGCTTGTGTTTGAAAAAAATAAACCATACACAGACATATACTAATTTTAACCTGACTTAAAAGTGTTGATCATTTGTTCACACATTCTGTCTACCTTACTGTAGCAATTACTACCTAGACTGCTATGTAATGGAAAATGAAATCACAAGTGTTAAAAGTATCTAAGAATCCAAATTAACATGGTCTATGATGACTTTACTATTCTGTCTCGGAAACAATTGGCTTGATAATGGTGAACTCATAACACTGAATTTCAAATATAAAATGATATAAATATATACCATAATATAATTTCAAGTTACATGACATAATTATTTTTTCTTCAAAATATATTATTTTAATTGTGTCGGGGTTACAGTGTCGAACACCCTAATAAATATGTACTATCTATTAACGTATAAGAAACAAGAACTCAAAATATAAGACAAAATCTTAAGTAAAAGTGATATAATCAGTTTGAAATAACTATTGTCCCTTAATCAAATAAAAGGGGGGAAACTGTTAAAAGTGAGATCTCCCGCAAAGGATTTGCAAAGAGTCAGTGAATTGGAAAGTTTTGTAACCAAGTTTCTTAAATACATCTCTAAATTAATGTTTTAATTGGAAAAAGAACTCCTTGTATGAGTGCAAGGAGCATAACATAACAAGCACTTTAGAAATTTGATACTGGGTAGGATCTATTAAAATGACGCCCTCCATCAGCCTTATTATAACACCGCTCATTCCTTTTAGGTATATCCTTTATTTGTTAGGCCAATTTGGTAAACGCCATAATTATAAAAAAAAAAAAAAAAATACTATAGGCATAAAAACAACTTTAGCTTAGTAAAGCGGTTTTGGTGTATGGATCATGTCCCTTCATTCTCATTGCTCAATTGTCTGTCACTTAGGAGTTAAATCAGTTTGTTTATACAGGCCTAGTTACACCTCCCTGTGTGTGACTTGTGCAGCCTTCCTAAACACTTCCTGAAAAGGAACCTAGATATAACAGGTGTTATTACTGCACATTCTGTTTAATCTAATGTCTGCTCTGTTAGGAGCCTTCTAGAACCTGCAAGAGTCTCTTGTGTGTGATTAAAGTTCAGTTTACAGAGCAGGAGATGAAAACTCCTAAAGCAAGTTCACATCTGCTTGAAAATGTAACAATTTTTTCATGCAGCCAGAGAAGGTGTGGCCCATAAACTGAAACAAACGTGATTTAACTCCTGAATGGCAGCCAACTGAGCAGTGAGAATGCAGGGGCATGAACTGTATACCCAAACTGTTTCATTGCTTTGGTTACTATATAATCCCTTTAAATAACGAACTTTAAGAACTTGAGTGGACTGAATTGTTAACTTCTCCCATACATTACATACTGCTTCAAAACCCAGAAAGAAAAAATGGTTTTGTTGAATATATATGCTAAATTAAGCTAAGCATATCATCAGACAGAATCTAAGCATGCTGTAAATCCAGGCTTGGCTCAAGGAACTAACCAAGTGTTGCTCAGTAAGGCATTTAAAAATATGTATGGAAAAGATAGGAAGAGAAAAATGGATAGACAAGCGCTAGAAATCTTACCTTTTTACCTATTTAAAAATATTTATTACCGTATTAACTTTTCCCCCAAGGAAATAATATAATTGGACTGGAATTCAGGAGTAAAATGTCCACTCATCTGGTAAGGCAAGTTTTAATAGCCAGGGTGAATTTCAAGTTTGACATATGTACAAACTTGATGGTACCATAAAATAGCTAGTCCTGTCCTAAATTGTGGTTTTAGATCAGGAATGGTCAGGAAAATGGTCAGGTTTTAGATCAGGAATGGTCACCTGCTGGCTGCTGCATCATGGCCATGCTCCCGATGTGTTCAGCTAAACATAAAAACTATTTGATACTCATATTTTTTATTAATTGTTATTGTTAATGTTTTAACCATTCCTTTTATTTATCCATTGAAGACTGGAGAATAAAATGGGGTGGAACAAGAAAAGGGGATCAATCTAAACTTTCTCATTATACGATTCATTGGCTTACTCTTCACTATTGTAGAACTCAAGTCAAAGGATTGTTTTGTGTATTGTCAGGGTCTCCTATAGCCCTCCTTTTAATTCAGATTGTGACTTTCTAACTAAATATGTATCTTTAGAAAGTCTAAAGTAGTTTCTTCTGTTAAATAAAATACATTTTATGAGTAACTCTGGTTCTCCATGGTATCTCATCTTTCATATATCTAAGCACAGTCTTTAAAAATTCACATTGCATAGCAAAAAAGTAATTTAGCCAAATTCTTCAGCATGCAATTAAAAGTAATGAGATTGTGTGAAATGCTTTGTATGCAGTAAAATCCACGAAACTAATTATATAAGAGAGCATTGGTTTCTTTCACATGATTGGCTATGTAAACACTTACACATGGTTTAAATTTACCCCTAGAATACAACACATTACATTAGATTATATTTATTTTACACATACAGCTTCTTACTTTCCTGGATTTTTCCATACTGGTTTTACAATTGTGAAGAAAAACATTGCAGGTAAGTTTCAAAGACTGATTCTGATAGCATTGCAAGAAAAATGAGAAACACCTACATTATGTTATAATTGCATGCATAATATTAAGCTATAGATTGCAAAACATAATACAATATAACATGCCATTAAACAGAAAATGCCAATATATGAAGATTTATTTTTGTTGTTGTAGATTCTACTGTGAAGGATGGAGGAACTGGCACTTGTTTTGTGCATGTTGAGCACAGTCGTTAGTTTTCCGGTAGGTTCATCATTAGTATGTTTGTTTTAGACAAATAGGCTCACTGACTATTAAGTGTCACATCTGAGAGTAGAGACTAATAAATAACTCAACATACTTTGTTTCACAGCTTGATTAAAGGCTCTGTGCAAAAACAGTAAAATATTCACAATCCAATATGTAAACCACTTAATCTAACCAATACACTGTACACAAATGTTTAAGTGTACAACTCTAACAACTAGAATAAAGTGGCACATACTATTAAATTGGCTATTGTGTGTCTCTACTCCGAGGCTTAAAAATATATTATACCAATTTTACTTTACATTTTTGAAAAATTTTAATAGATAAGTGAATGTGTGTTCTTTTTACTTCCATCCCATAGTACAGAACTATGGGAAAAGCCGGCACTTTCTAAATACTACTCCTTCTAATTCATGGTATACATTAGTGATCCCTTGCATAATCCTTTTGTTAATCTCAGAGCCCAAGCCTAGATTACATTGACAGAATGCAGTTTGGGTTCAAACTTGTCCTCACTATGATCAGAAATGTAGTGGGTTAATTCATTGACCTAACTAACCAGAGTACTAGTTCAATGAACCTGTGTAATAGCAAAACTAATTTCACATATTTGAAGTCATAAAATTGAGATTGTTGTCCAAACTTATTTTTTGCAAACTGCTGTCCTGGTTTTTTTGAAATACCAGATTTCTATTTGGTATATTTGGAAGAAACGGGAGTGAATAATTATTGTCAGTTTTTGTACTTTTGTGAATGTGGAAATATAGTTTGTTTCCACTGCACCATCCTTTTGTATATAGCAAACATGGTAGCTGTTAAATTTAATTAAATCAAAATTCATATGGAGCTCAATATTCCAATGATATTATGTCAGATATTTACAAAGATCAGCCATGAAGGAAATTGCTAAATGTAGAGATGTCCTTAGGAACATTCCATTGGTTCCCATGGCGACCCACATATAACATATGCTTATAATTCAGTACCTTGCAATGTCCAATATATGTGTTGCACAAATAGTTTTGCATCATGAGACATACGCATTTTGGAAAATAGAAATATTAAACGTATATTTTTACCCAGAAACATGATGTATTTTTATTCCTCAGATATACCCCCAGACAGCCGGGACACATGGCATGGCCAGTGTAAGCCTTGAGGTATGTGTCCTAATCCCAATTTCCAGTGGGCAAAAAAAACCAATGAGGTTTTGTATTACTTTTTGAAATTTACTACTCAAAATATTTTAATCAGAAACGCATTCTGTACACAATATTCATGCTACCTTTTCAAGTAGAATAGGTAAAATGACTACAGAAGCTGCATAATCTCTTATAAGGGATTATTAAGAAAATTCTTGTATTGCTATGGTGGAAAACCATGTCAGTTCTCTGTGTTCCTTAAACCCTTGAGTGGCACCACAAATCATTATAACTAGGTTGAACCACGTTCCTCCAATTGTTCCATAACTCATCCGTCGATATAGACATAATATGTATTTTATTTTCAAATGTGAAATAAAAGACGTGTTTTTACATTTTATATTTTTAATCCTCAGAGTATCAGAAGCCAACAGACAGCCAATAAACTGGCAGCACTTCCTCAGGTACCAATGTTTATTATAATAACATATTATAATTTTTTTTGTTTTCATTGGTAATATGAATAGATAGACAGACAGACAGATAGACAGACAGAGAGATGGACATGGACAAATAATTTTTTCTGTATTTGTTATATTACATTGATAATAAACATTATATCTCATTTTGTTTAAATGGCATATGCCTTTAGCTTTCACGGTTTGGGTACAATGATCCATACTCAACATTATGGCTGCATGGTCTCTTACCACCACATGCAACATATCCATGGCTTCACCATAGACCACAACTCCTGGATAATCAACAGGTATTACATCATATACTGAATGGAAACAGCATAATGTTGTGAGTTTAAAGACAACCAGTGTGAATTCATTCAAGTGTTCCTAATCATAAATGTATCCCTAACGTAACCTCCATGATCTAATAGCTACTAAAATGTAACTTTTATAACATTCCAAATAAATATATGGGAAAGCGTAATATTGACTTTTAGTCATATTAAAGGCACATTAAAGTCACCTGCTTTAGTCATGTAGGATAATTCCTAGCTTCTTAACATTAATTAAAGCTATGTGTAGATACAAGTATCCATATTGATAACCATAATAGAGTACTGTGAACCCGAATTACTAGCTCAAGAGATTATCTATATGGGAGTAAGGGATATCACTATTAGATTACCTCTCAGAGGAAATCATTGAAAGGGAATTTCAGGCCAAGGTAGCCAAACTGGGAGCTCAGGTGTCTTAGAAGATTTTACTAAATTGGCTATTTTGCCTTTGAATTCTCACTTGTGAACTAGAGTTTATTTGTTCGAGTTTGGAATTGTTCCAGGAATTTTGTAGAATTTGCAAAAGAATAGAAAAAATGAATTCACTTAACACTTTGTAACCACATTTTCACCAAGTATTTATTTTTGTGTTTTAGTTTGAATATGCTTTGCCAATACATCCTCCTCCATTGCCTGGGGTGCAGGCTCCAGCTCAGCCACAGAATCCAACTCAAGAAACTCAGAATGATCCACAGTCAACAGGATCGTCTGTGAAGGCAGAACAGCTCCTACATCAGCCATACATGCCTTTGGGATATCCAAAACTACCGCAAACAATGCCAACACTAGCTCCCCAAAATGGGGCACCACCCGATGGTCAAATCCAAACGGTAGCATTGTATATGGTAATCATATAAACGTAGCTCTGCTTTAGAATATTTTTGAATATAATAAAGTTGTGATATTGTAGCCTGTTGTGTTTTGAGATATTTACCCCATTTAAATATTTAACTGCATTATAATATGCTAAAATCCATTCTTCCTTTTAGTACCAAACAATAATGAATAAATTACTGCAGCAAGGAGCAGGAGACACAGGCCCAGATCCCGCTGGAGTCCCTCCTGTACAGCAGCAACATGTAAGCTCTTCTCTTCAGTATATTTTACACAATCAAAATTATTATTTTTAGAATTCAGGGGATCAATACAACCAACAAATTCATTGCATTAAAAAGGTGGAATTTTACGTGCCTGAGCATTGTACTGTTATATTAAAGGGACAGCATAAGCACTATAAATACTGCAGCTTACCGAAAGAAACTGTGATAAGGCAATAATTCTGTAACAATACTTCAAAGTAAGACTACTCAAGATTCTTCATGACAAAATATTTATCTTCAATTATGCAAATAATTTGGCATTGTAGAATCCCCGTTTATCTACTTTATTAAGTTTAATGCTTGTATACAATATATTCAGAAACAGTAGGACAAATCCAGATTTTACACTTTGAGCCATTACAATTGTAGTTAAAATGACACTAGAGGCACCAAAACAACGTTAGCTCAATGAAGCAGTTTTGGTGTATAGATCATGCCCCTGTAGTCTCGCTACTCAATTTTAGTTAAAGCGATAATCGAAGCACCAAGCCAACCGTAGCTTAATTTACTGCTCAATTCCATGCGATTTAGGATATAAATAAAAAAATTTATGCAGCCCTAGCCTCACTTCCCCTGATTATGACTAACATAGCATCCATGACAAAAAGGTTTAATTTTTACAGCACAGTGTGTTTACGTTAGAAAGTCTTTTCTCCTTCTCTGTTGATTGAACACTAAATCACACACAAAAAGGCTGATGCAAATAACATACCAGGAAACAGGAAATGTTAAATTAAATGCATTATGCAATAAGGGAAGCTATAAAAATTGAGACTGCGTGAGCCACAGCCAGCGGAGGTGTGGCTAAAATTGTTTTGGTGCTTAGAGTGTCCTTTGAACCAATCACAACAGGACATTTTTATTGGGAATTATTTATTGAGAATTACTCTTTTTTTAAACTTTCTACCACTTTCCTATAGACGTTTTATTAATATTTTATAAAGTTGTATTCTGTTTCACAGTATAATGTTTAAAACTTGTGATTTGCATCAATAAAATAATTATGAGCAACAAAAGGATTAATCAAATGCCATGCTTTCTGAAGTAATAAAGAATCCATCAGGCAAAATACAAAGTATAGAATATATTAATACTATATATAACATATTAAATACTGTAAAAAGCAGTTGTGCCAAGTAATTATTAGTCCTGTGAGATTCTCAATAAAGATGTGGCAGATCTACAAACTGTCTTTAATATTTGTTTCAGTATATCTCGTCTACTTTACTATTTTAGAAAACCCGTGTACCCTTAATTTTTATTTTCATTCTGTAACCTGTATGTTTCAAGGAATGTGTCTTTTTTTTTAGCCTTATCCTGGCCTAGTGTTTATGCAATATGGAGGAGCTGGGGTAAGTGACTGCAACTGATATAATATTTATAGAAACACAAAAGAAAATATGTATTGCGAGAGTTCGGTACTATAAATCTGCATGAGGCAGGAATCAAAACATGTCACAGAAAAGTATTTTATTTATTTTTTATTAGGGCCGGTCTTGCTAACTTCAAACCTATTAGTGTTGTAGAAATAAATCTCAAGCTACTTAAACATAATTTGAAAAACAGATACTTTTTTGTCATTACTTATGTTAATTAACATATATGTGATATATGATTGCAACTGCATGCTTGTCGTGGTACCTTGTATTCTGGCTCTTCGGGCTTGCCCTCCTGGATTTCTACAGACAACCTGTGACTTCTCTCATAGCTCTTCCTGTTTCACCACGGTTCTTAGGGCTTGATTTTGTGTCCTGTTTTGCTCTTAAAAGCTCTCTATATATTTATTACTGTCTATCTGGTTTCGATCTCGGCTATTACTGACTATTCTCCTTTCTGTAATCATTGACTTGTTGACTTTTCCTTGTTTCATTTCAGGGAATAACTATACCATTATTTGTGGGTAATATTATCCAATTTATTTGTGTGCTCTCACCATCACTTGTTTGTTTGTTTATTGCTATATTTTAAGGTGGTGATTGTGGCCCACCTTGGTCATTCTAGCACTTTTGTTTATGTTTGAGGACTTTTTCACTTTTATATTGTATTTAACTCTAATGATCAGTATACGTTATACATTCCATATTTCAGGGTACACTCTGCATGTTGCGTCTTGCTATCACTATCTCACTAGGGTATAATTTAATTTATCTGATATTTAGCACTGGAATTATCAATATAAGAATGATATCTCTACTTACAAAACCAAATTCAAGACAATGGAGCTTATGTTACTCTATCAGACATGAATCTGGAATATCAGGTCTGTATTATTAGTCAAGAGGGCTACAAAACTAGCAATTATGCAAACCTTATATCTGCAAAATGTATTTACAAAATCTGTGGGGGTTCACAGCCAAAAATCTTCTTGACAAACCAATAAGTTGTGTTCCACTGTATCATTCACTTGATTGAGTTTGGTGTCTATGTTTTTGATTTAGAAACAGTAAAACAGTATTTCAAATCAGCATTTCAAAAATGAATTAACACCATGATGTATCACCACATGATTCTGCTAGTCTATAATTTAAGATACATATGCTAACAAGTTAAAAAAAAAACAAAAAAAACAGGGAATAAACACGAACATAACTGGCATTAAAAGAGTGAAATGTATGAAGTTGAATATAAATTGTCTCTTACAGGGTCCTCCAGCAAGACTTGGTGTGATGAGCTCTGAAGAGATGCAGGTAAGATAGCTCTTTCCCACCATTTGACTTGCTCATTAGAACAGATCATTATATAAATAATGTATACAGATAAACCTACACCTGGAAATTTCAGCTCAATATGTTTTGCCGAAATTAATAGTTTAAAGAAAGAATATTTTTTTAGTAATGGGAACATAAAGTCCAGAAAAACACAACATTTTTGGGGGACTGTAGGTTCCCTACTATCTCTGTGAGCACTGTCCACCTCCCTTTGCTGCTGAAAATTGAAGTTAAATAAAGATTACTTACCTAATTTCCAGCACAAATAATCATCTGCCGCAGCTGCCCGGTCCGCCTCCATAGGCATAATGACGTCTTCTTGGCGATACGCATGTGCGACCAGAGTGCTACTCCAATCAAAAGCAACTCTAGAGGCTGTCAGGAAGACAGTCACTAGAGGTGTATTTAACCCTTCAATATAAACATTCCAATTTATACATAACTATAATGTTTTACATTGCACGATTAAAACTACAGTGCAGCTGCACCCATACCACGTCATTGAGATTAGGTGCTCTGGGTGACTTTAATGGTCCTTAAGTTATACTAGTGACATATAACCTTTGGCATTATAGCTGCATTTTTGGATATGTATTCCATAATGACTGGAAATGCAAAAGTTGGCCACCATTGGGATATTTTAACTTTTAGAAATGCTTGGCATGAAAGATAGTGACACCTATGAACTGGGAGTGTTTCTAGAAGTAGACACTCTACTTTACTTTGCTATCCACCTTAACCTTCTAATCCACATTGTGTGAGAAGAATAAAACAAAGATACATTTCAACTAGCTTAACTTTTCATAATAACAATTAAATATTTTTCATTACAGGGTGGTCGTGCTGGGGCTGCACATGCTTTTAATGGCTTGTATCCTGGGCTTCTCCAAATGGGTTCTGGATTTGGAGGCGTCCCTCAGAACCCAGTCTTTCAAGGAGACTTCACAGTGGAAGATGACTCTCCTGCAGCAGGAAGGAAACCTGTGGGCCAGGGAGCAGCTCAGAGTCCAATTGATAACCCCTCACTTGTTGGCTCTAACCCATCTCTGCCAGGTCTAGAGGGAAGCCCAATAGGACAAGGAGAAGTTATGCCATTCCCCAACATCAATGTACCCAACTTTGCCTTAAACCCCTTAGGTCAGAGTAAACTCCCACCAGATGTCACACCACCAAATGTATCCCAATTAAACCATGATACAGGTGCAGGATTTGCTTCTTTTTTAAACCATGATACAGGTGCAGGCTTTGCTCCTTACGGCATTGATGAAACAATGCCCTATGGCTTCCAAAGAGAAACTCCTATTCATATGGACAGTACGCCACCAAATACTGCTATTGATACTCCTATTCTACCAAATGAAGTACACTTACAGCATCATTATTTCCATGAGCCCTGACAGTACATGATGCAATTCTAATTCTTACTAAATATTCCAGACATTACTTTGCATTACTAACATGGACTACTGTATTCTTATTTAAAGGGTGCAGTAAAACAAACAATATGAAAAAATAAGATTTAAGAAAGAAAGCATAACAGAAACATAACTATAGCTATATTAGTTGACAAAGCTGCTTCATCAATATATATATTACTGATTAGTGATTTTTGCTTATTAACCTAAATCTTTCATCGATTTTCAGAATCATCTGTTCTCAGAGGCTAATCATACTAGATATTTATTATGATGATGATCATAGAAATGTGGGATGTGGTTCTGTTTTGTAATTATATTAATAGATGTATAATGTGCTTCAGGTTAATTTGTCTTCATTCTACTGAAAGATAAGGGCTCAACCTACTCCTGCATTGCATCAATAGTTATTTGTTGCTTAATAAATTTATTTGAGAGATATTTATGTTTGTTTGCCTCTTTACTTGTAATGCTCAGCTTAGTTCACTACAACATGGGAAAATACATAAAAACAACATACCTAAACATTGTTATATTTATGGGACGAAATACCAGTGCTTCACCTCTTATGTGCACAGTTGCAGACTTTTCTGTCCAGCTCCCTATTATCAGTGACTATGGGGTTTATTCACTAAACAAAAAAAAATGTGGTGAACCAAAAAATAGAGATGGAAAATATCAGTAGCTGATTTTAAATAATTCACCAAATCTGGAATTTATCAACTCTTCCATTCACCTCAACTCACTGTATAGTGAGTAAGCCCCTTAGTGTAGAAGAGTGTGACAATTTTGGGCCATCAACAACTATGACCCATTCTAATCTCACCATCATTGCATACCTTTAAAGGACAACTGTGACCTCACAATTATTATTTTTTAATATAATAATCCTTTCTTCAAGAATTGAAAGGAAAAATATTTTTTTTAAGTAAGTATATGTTTTAAGTATATATGTATAAAGTATATATGCAAAACTCACCCTACCTTTAGTATATGACAGGATCCATTAGCCATATACATACATTATGGGTTAGACAGTGTTTGAAAACTTACAGTTATAGTCTCTATGGTCTTCCCTCCCTGCACAGAAGCCATACTGATGTGTTTACAAACAAATACGCTAAATATAAGTAAAAACATTGCTTGGACACCCCTTAATAACAAGGGAATCTTGATTGTGTCTCTTTTAAAATAACTGAATAAATAGAGTGTATACCCTCTCTTCCTTTAACCCATGTGAATGGAAAGGTTATGATTGTGGTAGACAAATAATAATTTCAGGCAAAAAGCTTTTACCTAGGCAAAAAGTTATTTGACCTTTAAAACACCATTTGCCTATCCAAAATCATTTTGCCAAACTAATATTCAGATAAAACTATTTGACAAACAGGTGCCACTTCCCTAGGGGGTTCATGGCAGCTTATTGGCGAGCAGGGGGCCTCTTTTCTTCAAGGATCCAAGATGGCTATTAGAGACCAGATCCATAAATTCGAAAAATTAAAAAAGGCTTGCTGGCCAGAGGACTTAAAACTTATAAGACTCGGTTCTATCAGGAGCCTTTGTATGCCCCTTACAACAAACTATAATGATACCAATGACCCCCATGGTAATGAATTATAAATTTTTAAAAAGACTCTACTGCTTTCAGTGATTGGCAGAATACCTAGTGTGTGCATATCAATCTTTATTATGTATTTTGCAAGAGAAAATTATTTATTCCTGAAGAAACTCTAAACATGTTTGAAAAGAGAAACCATCACAGAAGTTGGGGTGCTATCAGACTATGGATGGCTTTGATATGATCTTTTTTTAAGGTGCCAAAGTAGTATTGCTTAATAAATAATATAATCTATCCACCATGAGAAAGTAATCACAATCAAGCTGATCTCCTACAATCACCAGGTGAACTGCTCTCCTACAACCAACCAGGTGTATTTTTGCCAAAGCAAGCACCATGAGCATAATTTGGGTAAATGGGTATGACAACGGGTATGACTCAAGTCTACTCTAGGATTCTAATGAGGTTTGCAAGAAGTACCATAGTACCAGTATATCTGAAAAGGCAATGTGTTGGAATGCTGGGCTCTTTATTAATGCATAAAGGCATTGATAGACTGACAGCCTTCTGGGCCCCCGGGCAACATTATATCCTGGGCCATTTAATGACCAAATATTAAGTATTAAAAGGGACATTATAGTCACCAGAACAACTACAGCTTAATGTAGTTGTTCTGGTGTCCACAGCCAATCCTAGCAGGCGTTTTAATGTAAACAATGACTTTTCAGAGATAATACATAGGTATTATCATTGGTAAGAGGTACTACTATGCATGAAATTGCTGCGCAGTGAAATGAGGGTTTTATAATTATCACTGACTTAACAACAACACGAACACTTGTCTCAAGCTACCATTGCCCCATGACATACATGTTTGTATCATTTGGTCTCAAACCTGAAATATTTTTTTGTCAACACCACTTCAACTAATTCCAGGGTGTACTCAAATGGAGGTCCTGAGTAGTTAGGAAGAACTTGACACATTGCTTTAATGCCCTCATTGTGCGGGATAGTTGTGTACAAACTTTTTAAGTAGCATGTTAGTAGTAATATAGATGTATTTGTAGTTTGAATCTGTTCCCTGGAGGATTGGCATCCTTGTGGTGTTGTGAATCGTGAAAATAATTGAGGTCCTAGGTGTCAGTTGTTGGAAAAATTTGTGTAATTCCATCATAATGTAGTTAGCTTCCAATCCTCTTTGTAATGTTTTGTGAATAACCTGCATGATAGAGGTGACGGGGACATGAGTTAAGTCTGGGTTATCATTCAGATGTGGTAGAAGTTATTTTCAATTGTCAGAGTAATTTTGAAGTACAATCCATCCAATTTTGTCCACAGGTCTAATAACAAGGTTTTTATCTCTTGCCAAGGAGTTGATGGTATCCTATTTCTTTTTGGAAGTATTAGAATAGTGATGCTGCTTTTCTCTCACGATGGAGATAGACTCTTGATGGACAGAACATAAGAGTGTTTTAATAGAGGACTGGTTAGGTAAAGGATCGAACATGATCTTTGGTGTAAATTGCTCTACATCCAATGAAATTTCCTGAAGTATGTGTTTAAAGAAGTTCTTAAGTCGCAGAGTTCTACTGAACTTGTACAACTCTATTTCTCAGTACAATCATAAACTACTGGCAAAGTTTTCCCGAACAGTAGGAAATCTTTACACTGTAATCTATTCTTTTCATTGTCTTACGATTCATTGACAATTGTTTTAATATTATGTTTTTTTGTGTATACAGGGAGTGCAGAATTATTAGGCAAATTAGTATTTTGACCACATCATCCTCTTTATGCATGTTGTCTTACTCCAAGCTGTATAGGCTCGAAAGCCTTCTACTAATTAAGCATATTAGGTGATGTGCATCTCTGTAATGAGAAGGGGTGTGGTCTAATGACATCAACACCCTATATCAGGTGTGCATAATTATTAGGCAACTTCCTTTCCTTTGGCAAAATGTGTCAAAAGAAGGACTTGACAGGCTCAGAAACGTCAAAAATAGTGAGATATCTTGCAGAGGGATGCAGCACTCTTAAAATTGCAAAGCTTCTGAAGCGTGATCATCGAACAATCAATCATTCAAAATAGTCAACAGGGTCGCAAGAAGCGTGTGGAAAAACCAAGGCGCAAAATAACTGCCCATGAACTGAGAAAAGTCAAGCGTGCAGCTGCCACGATGCCACTTGCCACCAGTTTGGCCATATTTCAGAGCTGCAACATCACTGGAGTGCCCAAAGAAAGGGTATAAAAGAAGAAAATCTAATGACATGGCCTCCTTGTTCACCTGATCTGAACCCCATTGAGAACCTGTGGTCCATCATCAAATGTGAGATTTACAAGGAGGGAAAACAGTACACCTCTCTGAACAGTGTCTGGGAGGCTGTGGTTGCTGCTGCACGCAATGTTGATGGTGAACAGATCAAAACACTGACAGAATCCATGGATGGCAGGCTTTTGAGTGTCCTTGCAAAGAAAGGTGGCTATATTGGTCACTGATTTGTTTTTGTTTTGTTTTTGAATGTCAGAAATGTATATTTGTGAATGTTGAGATGTTATATTGGTTTCACTGGTAATAATAAATAATTGAAATGGGTATATATTTGTTTTTTGTTAAGTTGCCTAATAATTATGCACAGTAATAGTCACCTGCACACACAGATATCCCCCTAACATAGCTATAACTAAAAACAAACTAAAAACTACTTCCAAAAATATTCAGCTTTGATATTAATGAGTTTTTTGGGTTCATTGAGAACATGGTTGTTGTTCAATAATAAAATTAATCCTCAAAAATACAACTTGCCTAATAATTCTGCACTCCCTGTATGCATTTCAACTGTTGTTGTGCCAACCAACTGGAACGTAAACTGCCGGGGAAGCTATCCAGAGCAATGTGAACACGCGGCCTTGAGTAATGTAGTTAACGCTTATATAAGATACAATCAGGAACTAGGAGACCAGCCATGGTCCCCTGTCTGGGCTTAAATTATAAGTGAGGTTGAAGAGATTAAAGTCATGTAGTAGCTTTCTCACGGCTGTACGTTATATTATTCAAGCAAATGACAGCAGGCTCAAGAATTGTTAGGCAGTCGTGGCTCCGGTTAGACAAGTTAAGTAGATAGTGAGTCACACACGTAATATGGATAACATTAACACTGGCTAGTAACAACCGCAATCTAGTTACACAGTGAATACTTATATAACCGGCACATATACCCTTCATGTTTCCCTTAAAATAAGTGCTGTACAATACGTTTATTAATAGGTTACGTCATATAGGTTAAGAGTTACGTCAGTAGATAGTTAAAAGTGTTGTGATGCATAAACAGGGCAATTCTCGCTGGCTCCCAGGCGTGGGCCGGGCAGGTGGGAGTTTGGGATCCTGATTGGGGTAGTGAGCCCTGTGGTATGCCTAAGGTGTGC